CATCCGCTCGGACCAACTTACTAATCCCTATCAGTCGCCTCTTCAAACGAAATAAAAGGTATTCCAATATTAAGGGATTCTTCGAAACCCAGTTTTTCTACATTATCACTTACGTTTTCGCAGATCCCATATAGAGTGTTGACATTCGTTGTTTTTTGCCAACATTATTTTGCCCATTATTAGGTTGCGAGCAGAATAACCATGCAAATCATTTTATTGAAGGGGCCTAGGATTCAAAAAAGTCATTTATATTATCAAAGGCATGATTATTGTAACTTCGCCCTCTTAAGGTTGCTTTCAGAGCGGACCCAAAGATTGGCACTGAGACTGTTCGGATTTTGTCATGAGTTAAGTTTTGCTCTTATTATATTTTCATAATCATGTCTGTTGTTTTTCTTTATTCTATCATACCCTTCCCTCACTATTCGCTGAAGGCTACTCAACCTCATCTAAGTTAATTTATATTCCCCTCTTTAAAATTTGTCCATTTCCACTTAGGTGATTCCTTTGGCCAAGCGGAGTGGCTTGATCGAATGGTGCGAGGGTACTCGACCTTTAGGAGCCTGGCTGGTTGGTGATGAACGCCGTTTAGGCTTATCTGTCGAGGATGGAGTCGCTAGAGGGTCTGGTAACATGGGTGCTCATTTGCGCTACCGACCTGATGACATGATTCCGGCTTCGGCTAAGAAAATGCTGGTCTCTGTGCGAGACAAACCAATCGACAAAAAGCTTTTTGTGTTCAAGGAGATATGCGAGAAACTCAAGTATGCATGCTTAGAAAGAAATTACTTTTAAAAATCTGCATCCACATTAACGATAGATTAATGAAATTGCTGAGATTTTTCGGCTTTTACATACAGCCTGTTGGCCGTTTCCTAGAGCTCATTTTGGTCTGCAACCATTTAATTGTCAAAATTTCAATTGTTATCTATCATATTACGAGTGTTAAGGCATTTGGCAATGCATGAACGAGGTTTTTACATTGATTATGAAGAGATGCAAAATAAATTTACTTTACTTTTTGCCTAGTCGGAAAAAAATACTGGAAAGACGAATATTTATGACTATCTTTAAGCCGTTTTGCTTGACCCACTACACTTAATATAATTATCTATTAGCTTTTATCTTTGAAATAATTTTCTTTGACTTATGTTTCTCATCACTGCGGTTCATTCATATTGTAGCCATATTTGCTGTTTTCTTGCATGCATTTTCGCGAATTAAGAAAAATGTTAGTTCGTAGACTCTTTATTATTTCATTGTCTCTTATCTCTAACCAATGTTTTAATAGTTTCGTTACTATATAAAAGCAAATACTTGTGAGCATTCATGACCGAG